GATGCCTCTTTTCTGCTGCACAGTTAGTGGCATCCTGAATCCAGCCTGGTCCAGAAAAAGATGCTGACAATTTCTGTTCAGCAGTTAAGCAAGTTCTTAACTCTGTAAGTAATACCTGCATGTTTTCTGAGGCATAAAAAGTGGAAGGATAGGAATACAACAGGGAAGTTTATTACAAACACATGAACTAAAACTACCTCTATCTCTCTACAAGCCTAGAAAAAATCCAGAAGGGCACAAAGTGTACAATGAGTGACAATGGAAAATTACTTTTTATTTTTTGGTCCTCTCAAACAGCTACAGATGCCAGGAGCAGCAGAGATTTAAAAGACTCTATTTGTGACATAAGCTCTGAAATCAAGCCTCTTCCTTTTCTTGAATTCATTAGCTTTCCACTCCTAAAACTCTGTGTTGGGAAGCAAAAGAGCATGAGCTGTGGTAACACTGTTAATTGGCAGAGAAAGGGTACTATCCCAGCAAGAATAGGCTGGAAAAGATAGTGGGAACAAGGAGAATTTCCTTTTTCACATTCTTCCTCTCACTTTGTTTACTCACCACCTGCAGAAAGGTTGCAAAGCCAAGCGTCAAGGTTTTTCTCTTTCACACACAAAATATTGCAAAAATCTGTGTTTGCTTTCTACCAGTTAAAAAATGGAAACACTTTTAAAATGTAGAACAGAAATTTTTTTCTAACATAAAGTTCACAGTGCTACAAATTAAAATACAGAGTTTTTTCCTCCTTATTAGCTACGATCTCACAGCTCACAACTAGTGTACCTACTACCAGCTGTTAGCTAAGTAGTCATTCACGTATCAAGGTACTTCTTAGCCCAGAGCTGCAGTCACTGCCAGAGACTCATACTCTGTCTCATAATGCAGGCAGCAGCTTTGTCCATTGTTCTGCCCAGGGCTTGGAGCTTCAGTGCCCTCAAGCTGCATCCAGCTCTGGGGGTTCAGGGGTCCCAGAGTGGTCCCTGAGCCGCCACAATTCAGGAGAACAATCAACAGCTCAGAGTTCTGGCTCTTCAGGGACACAAGATCTGACTTCCCACACAAGAAAGCATCTGCAAAGCCTCAGCTGGGTGATTTATTAGAAATTTTTGTGAACTCAGCCCTGGCCCCATGATGAAAGCATTGAATTAAGAGTTTCAAGCTCTTACTAAATGAATTCCATTAAGGGGGAAAAAAATAAAGCTGTGTATAGCAGGGATTTTTTTAATGTGATTTTTGATGTGATCCTACTTGAATTGCAAAGTCTTGCCTGACACAGACTAACGTGTCCATACTTTGGCTTTGTCTAGTATTAGAGGTCATTAAATTTGGACGTTGCCAGCAAACTCCTTTGGAAAATGAATTGTCCATGCACATCATTCAAGTACTGTTTTTACCTTGGGGTCTGAAGATGGCAAGGCCACTTTGCCAGGCCAACATTCCCCCAAGACTTCTCATAACTCTGGCCTTCTCCAGGCTACTTAGGGTTTAGCACATGGGTTTTGTTTTTACCCTGTGGTCTTTCTTGTCAAAGCAGAGCAGGTGAGACCCATCAGGGGAACAGGTGAGCAGTGCATATATCAAAGCTTAGTTCCTGGGGACAGCAAAAACTGTATCTGCTCCAGAACAGGAATATGGTGCTGGTGACTTTTAAGTCCTGCTTTCTTCATCGTTATGGGAGGCAGCATGAGCAGAGCAGAGCATTTCCCAAGGTAAGTCTTCTAGCTATTTGCATGGAGGAGCTTAACTATTCCCCAGACAGTATAGCCCTGCGGCAGCCTGTGCTTGCATCTGCCCCCCGACTCTTGTCACTTTCCAGAGAGTGGGGATATCGCGGTGGGACATGAGGAAAGGTCTCACCATAGTGGCAAGGCATATATATAATATTGCATAGCACACTGAGCTAAATGCATGTACTGATGTTCACCATCAGATTATGGTGCCTTTGCTGCATTGGCTAATACACACACTCTGGGTTCTCTGACAGATCTGATTTGCTCAGTGCAGAGATGGCAAATGGCCCAGGAGCACACACACTGGTTTCCAGATCTCACACACAGCCAGGGCAGGGTGCTCAGCACTCAGCACTCAGCGTTACTGTGCTGCTGCTGTGGGTGGCCCAGTGGCTGTGGGTTCTGCTGGCCTTTTAAATTTCGTCTTTGTTTTGGAGAGATTAATTTGAAGGCTGACAAAAGTGCCTGGAGACATGGGAATGTACTTTAGACAAATGCTGTATGAAGTGTAGTGTCCAAGTAAGCTGTAGCATGCAGCCTTGCAAATGCTTTTGCTGGCTCTCCTCCAGAAGGATACAGCAGTTATCATATTCTTGGAAACTATACTCTCTTTGTTTTCCTCTGTTGCTTGAGGAAGGAGTAATTTTACTACAGTTACAGTGAGTTTAAATAGTGACATCTGTATGCTGAAATTGCTTTCTGCCCTGTTTCTATTTTTGAAACTCTTAAGATAACGTTTGATTACAGAGGAAAGCTGCAGTAATGAAAGAAATAATAAATTCTACATGTTATGTTGACTCTCTAACACCATGTTGCTATTGCTGTTGCTAATGATTCAAAAGAAGTAGACTAAAGGTAATTTTCTTAGGCTGGATAAAACAAGTGAAAATGGGATATAAAGAAAAAGGGTTGGATGGATGACCCAAAAGAAACGTGAGAAATGGCTTTAATTCTGTGTACAAGTATCCTGGGGGGAGGGGGCAGGTGCAGAAATCCCAGTTATTCCAGGGCTTTTCAATCTAGTGATCAAGGATCAGAATAGCCATGGTTGAAGATTAACAAGGGTCGAAAATAAAATTAGACATCAGGCATAATTTTGAACATTATTAACTGATGACAAATATTGGGAGGAGCAACCGAAGGAAAAGGTTAATTGCTTGATATATATTGATGTCTTCCAAGGAGGTGTAGGGTCTTTCTGAGACAGAGGCCTCAGGTAAGCAGATATGAATGACACTAAATGGTCATGTCTTTTGATGCGTTGCTCACCTGATCTTCTTTTCTGACCCTGTGAACCAGGGATGTCTGCAGTGAAAACTGATGCCTTATAGTCTTCTAGGCCAGTTTTTCCACAGTAAAAAAAAGGATTTGGAGTCCATAGAAAATTGAATTAACCTAATGTGGAGAACAGAACACAGTCCTCTGTATTAGTTCAAACAGTTAATTAATTTTCCCAACAATACTACAAAGAACAATCTCCAATCTCTTCCTTAAAAAAGTGGACAAACAGTAGACCTTAAGTCCTATAGGATCAGTAGCAGCTAGAGCTCATTAATTCTACATGAAGACTACACTATACATCACACCAATCCCTAATATATAGGTTTCACGCTGACAGAGCTTCAGCACTGACCTGTAAGTTTCCGAAGCTGGCACAAATTTCCTGCTGCAGTTAATCATGTTGGTAGATGCTAAGGAATTTGTGAACTTTAGGAAGCTGAGGTTGTCCTGTAAATTGTACAGCTGTGCTTTTGATGCACTACAGAGACTTCCCTTCTATCTCTTTTGAGACTTACAGAAAGAGAGCACTTAGCAGCCTGAAGAGAACAGATTACTGCCCATCCAATCCACCAGTTCTCCTATATTAAACCTGTTTGGGTCAGTATGATAAGTATTGACTGCCACAAACTGAGACTACTTTTTTCCTCTGGGAAGGAGGAAATGTTCTGCATAATTTAAATACTTTTTAGTAAGGAAGCAGAGTTCAAAGTCCATTTCAAGATCACATGCCCCCAAAGTATACACAGTCCTCTGCTTGAAATTACATCTTTTCAGAACAAGAATACCAAGGTTATTTCAGTTCTGATCACCATGCTCAGGCTCAAAATAATCAAATCCTTTTATCTAGATCCCTGCAATAACATGACTCACCAGCTAATGAGGACAGTGTCTATCACAGGCTTCAGTCATTGCTTTTTAAGATATGTAAATAAGGAACTTCCAGTACAACTTATTCTTCAACATTTCTTTTCCCATTTCTGTTAATTCATCTTCAGAATAATTATTAAAATATAGCATCTTCTCTTCTTGTACAATTACAAGACGTAGAAGATATCTCTCAGTTATTATATACTAGTTTCTTGTAATACAAAGTTGCCCAAGGATCCCTCAGTACAGGAAGAGGCCTGAACATGTCTGATGAAGTTATTGCTGTGCCCACAAACAAGAACAAAGCATGATCATTACAAGAAAAAAAAAAAAAGAAAAACGACCAATAATGGAAAATAACAGTAATATATAAATGTGCTTGCCTAGTTTTTGCCTGTTTGCATAAAAACAATGTGCCCTATGTATCAAGGAAGGGGAAATGCAAATTTCTCAATCTTTGTTCTATGTTTTGAGATTGTGCTCTTACCACCTTCTGTTCACAGCTTGCTTCCACAGCCCTCTGGTTGTGAGTGCGGATGGGTACCTTAAAATGGCCTCAGACTTGGCAGGTGTAGGGTGTGTAGAAGGAGTCAGGAGTCAGGCAAACATGTGGCACCCCTGGGCTGCTGCTGAAATAGTTTCTGTGTGGGGCTGGGTTTGAAATGTTGAGCAGGACACGGGGTAAAAGGTTTGTTTCTTCTGGCCTCAGCTGTCTAAAATTTGGCTGCCTGAAGCTGGGAAAAGGCTGTGTTCTTTCTCTACCAAAAATTGAGAGCATATGCACCTCCAGATACCTGAGATGCCTATCTTAGGGTGGCATGAATAGCTTTCTAGACATGACTCTTCTTATCTGTTGATTGTGAAAGGAACACAGGGAGCTGACAAACTTCAGCAACTAAGTTTTGGGTGTCTGAACTGGGGGATTTAGTAATCAAACTGGAGCACCTCAGTGCAAGGTAAGAGTCAAAGAGATTTTATGAATGGTTGCAAGGTAAGAGATCCCTGAATTCACGACAGGACTTTAGCTGATTTGCTGGATGATCCAGTAGTAGCACTGGTGGTGCTACCAGCATCCTTCTATTGAAGGACACCAGTCTGATTGTGCTGCTTTTTTCTCCACTCTTGAAGGTCGCCACTGCGAGGTCCATCAGATGACTGGAAACTACATGTGGGACCAGAAGGCAAATGTATCATTTGATATTGGTGTGAATAAAGAAAGCCTGCTGCCTCTCTGGTGGAATGGATCAGAGCCTTTGTGGGTCACAATGATGAAAGCTAAAAAGAATGTTTCCATGTACTACTGGCCAGGTTAGTATGTGAAAAATTGCTACAATGCGCCTTGACATCTGAGCACTCCACATGCTGTAGAAATGGCTCTCTAATACAGTTCTGAAATACAGATAGGAATTTTATGTGCTTTACTAACCAGGCATAGAAATGAATTAGCTTTTCTTTGGTCATGATCATTTGCAAATGCTTAGAAAGGAGAAGACTGAAGTGTCACAAAAGGCAGCTTTCCACTAAATGCTAGCTTCAGGAACATGCTGGCTTGAAGAGTATCCCCTCCTCCATCAATTGCTTTTTCCTCTTGCCCCCCTGTAACTTCTGCTATGCTGAGTGATTGCTCCATGAATGGTTCATGGTCCAATGAAAGTTAAACAGTAACCACTCTCCCCCAGCGCTTCTTTGGTTTTAATCTGGAAATTAGTAGCTGAGAGCTGAAGATGATCTGCTCTGTGAGGACAAGAAAATCCAGCTGAAAGCAAAGCATCCTTGTCCTCTAGTCCTCCTTCACTGTTAATTCCTCTGTAGTCCCAGTTGCTCTGAGTCTGAGCCATTCATTTGGAGGGACTTGGCCTTTCTGTTCCTCATTTGTTAGATATTAGACCAGTGGAATGACTAGGGATGTGTAATAATGAGTCCTTTATATCAAACAGAAGTATTGTATCCCCTTAGGCTATACATTTAGGGACTCACATGGAAATAGATGTTCCAGCTGAGCAACCAGACCAAATCCCTTGCAAAGCACCCAGATTCTCAACTGTTTCACCTTCTAACTGCTACCTACCCTAAGCAGTCTGCAGATATCCTCAATGTGCAGGCGCAGGCTGGAGGAGCAGTGCGCCGGTAGAAGAGCTGTACTGAATACAGCCAGTGCCAGCAGGGCAGGGGCAGCTGACTCACACCATGGGCTCCTGGCCAGCTTGTCTCTGCAGCCCAGTGCACATGTGCCTGGCCACAGCCTTTCCATGCAATGTGGCTAAGGGTGTCCTGGCAAAAAGCCCACGATTCTCAGGAATGGGAAGAAATTGTGAACCAAGATGAAAAACACTGAAAAGCCATCCAAAGTGTTTCTATAGTACTGAAAGGCAAAAAGATCTGAGGGTGACAATATTGCCTTATGGACTCAGAGGCAGTCAAAGAGTTTACATCAGCCTGAAATAAGACCGCTTCCTACTGAAGACGTCTAAGTGATCTAACAGCAAGGCAAATAGTAGGATATAGAAATTATACAAGAATGTAGGAATTATTCTAAAATTTTACAAAAATATCTCTTTCTATAGACTATTCCATTTTAACTACTATTGTAATTGCTCTCAATAGGTATAATTGTGTATTGAATAGATGTAACAGCCTACAGAGAGCTGCTGAAATAAAAAAAAACAGTATCACTTCCCATTAACTGCCTTTGGACTTTACCTAGCTCCTTCATGTTGCCCTTTGAGCAGTGTTTCCCAGGGAGAAAACATATTAGATATATATATATGTATATATCCCTGTATATATATATCTCCTCTTCACTCTGCCTGCAATTTCTAGCTGAAAATTGCAAGGAACAAAAGAGACGCCCTGTCCCCACTGCTTACACTCCCAAATGTATGCATTGAACTCTCTTATGACACAGAGGGAGAATTTTTGCATGGATCTGGCATTTTAGCTGTGGACTGTGACATATACCTCTGTCTGTCCTTAATTATTTATCTGTGATGGCTGACCTTTGGCAAAGCCATCAGTGCTTCAGTTCAGCAAAAGCTGAAGCACATGTTTATTTTATAGGTACTCATGGTCTCAAAGGACACATTGGCCATACAGGATCAGACACAGGAGGCAGACTGAAATATGGAGCGACTGAACTAAAATACAAGGCTGTTGGGCTGCAGTAGGAGTCCAGGAATAACTGGAGTGAGCAGAAGTCACTCCAAATGCAATAGCATTTGTTACGTTTTCCCTATACCATTTTTTTCCAACCATTTTTGTTCCATAGCAAGGACAGAATCTTTTCTAAAAATTCTAGATCTATAATTTTAAAGCAAAATTCTTAACAAGCCATTTGAATGGGGAGCAATGCCAAACAAAATGAAAATAAAACCCTGAGATTTAATAACCAAGGTGAGCAGAGGTCCCACAGATATTTGCACTGCATATGATCTGCTATTAGTGATAGCTTTCCAGCCTAAGGACACACTGCTGCTTAGTAATGAATCTTGCAATTATGATAAAGATTCAAACAGGAAAAGTTTGGGAAACTCTTAATAGGTATTGCAATATATAGCCAAATCATCACACTTTGTTCAGAAGGATGCTATTTTCTCTTTAGCCAGCAATAAAGACAAACAAGGTCAATGAACCATAGCAGGAATCCACTGGAAATGCCAGAGTACTGATTCCCAGGATTAGCTTTTACCAGCCTCATTTCCTCCTCAGAATCAATTCCAAGCTTTGCAAAGTCTGAACCCAAAATCTGCTGCTTCATTTTCTTCCCTATGTTCCTCTCTCATGTATAATCACTGCCTAAAGGAAAAAAATCCAGACCCCAGCACACAGGAACACAGAATAGGAGAGCTCTCAGATGTGAATAACCACACAGCTTTATCTGTGAGCCTAACATAAACCCAGCAAAGACAACTCATGGGCAGAATGTATCTGAGATCTCTTGATTCTAGAAGCAGAGGAGCCAAACTATTGCCATGCTGGGGGTGCCAAATACCACTTTTGCCAAAACATATGGCCTTGGCTTGTAGGGACGTTTTTCTCACACCCAGGGTGCCTGTCCAAAGCACTGCTGTTCCAGCAGGTGGAGAATGCTCAGAGGAGTGCAAGAGCCTCCTGGCAGTACCACTGAGGTCAAAATCTTCCAGTGGTCCTCACCCTCAGCCCAGTAAGAGGCGTCATCCCAGATGCCCAAGCTCCTTCGTTTGCCAGCAGCCAATGCAACTACTTTAGCTGAAGAGCAGTGACAACTTCTCTAAACACTGAAATGAGAGACAGAGGGGGGAATAAAAATACTCTAAACTCAACTTCTGCCATGTAAACATAATATTTACCAGACCACACAGCTAGTCTGGAAAATTTTCAAAATTTTCTGTTATGACATGAAGTGTCCAACTGTTAAATAAATGTTTAGAAATGCAATTTAAAGCTGGCAGAGATTCAGGTCTGCATGTGAGATAGATAAAGAGGGGTTTATCACTCTGAAAGAAGACCTTATTCCTGCTCCAATAGTTCAGGTTTTTAAATAAAGGTTTAGCATCATACAAAATGATGCAAAAGTATCTAGCATTACATCTTCGTAAATACAGCTTAACTATTTAGTTTAACCAAGAAAAACTTAGCATTCCCTTTGGCTGCCTCCAAATCTATTTAAATTTTATTTTCCCATATTATCTAAAAGAGAAAATTTACCATCTCTCCTGGCCTCTATCAAAATGAAAAAATGAAATTTAAGTATTAAAGGGCCTTCGTTTCTTCATGGCCAGTATTTTGGACTTGTAACAAACCTTAACATTAAAAACCCTAATTTAAGTTCTATTCATCACAGAGGTTAAAAAAAAAAAAAAGATAAAAAAAGGAAAAGGAAGCTCTTGGTGTCTAAATGTCTTGAATTTCCAATGGTACTGTCAATGAACCGCACACTTGAAGACCACTATTTCATGGCCAAAGTGATTAAATGATTTCTAATTCTTGCTACCCTGTAGTCATTTACGTCATGTTCATCACTTGACAATCTAGAAATAGCAAAGATATCTCAGAAACCAAAATATCCCAGATCCCCAAGAGGTTAATGCTCCTAGTTAAAATTATCTCATGAGTAATTCTGAGGAATGTTATTTGAGAAAATTACAATCTGATGTCAGTATCTGAAGAAAAAAGAGGCAAAATGATCATATTAGTCACTGGCTCTGAGCAGTCATCCACCTGAAGTTAAACACAAGGTATTTCTAACTACTTTCAAATGCATTCTTAAATTCTTACCTGGTTTTGGAGATAATCTTGAGCCAGACTCAACTATGAAAGGAGAAATTGACTCCAAAGTTCCAATTCAGTCCTGAAATACTAGCAAAGCCCACAGAGGACAACTACATCACCTCTAGCATCTGAGGTAGCTGAAAGCCCTTGTTTTGCTGCTGGTAGCACCCAGAACATCCTACAAAAGACTGGAGCTCTGTGCCTTCAGGAAAGGGGACTTGTGGGTATGACTTCAGGCCATTAATGGAATACATTTTTCTGATTATTTGGTTAAGTATCAGCTTGGACCCATCTCTGCTGCATAGTGCAATTTCTTGGGGATGCTGTGGGCAGATGTATAGGAGTTTATTGTGGGGTGATCTAGACAGTCAGTTCTTGTCAAGTCATCTGCTGGCTGTTTATCCAGGCTGCAGACAGCTCATGGTGGATCATGGTGGAGGGATGAACGCTGAGGTATTTTCATGCAAAAAGTGGAAGATTACATCATATGTTTGGTGCAACAGGGGAAGAATTAAAAATAAGCACCATCCCACAATTTTACAAAAATAAAAATTAGATATAGCTTCAAGAGTAGGCAAATGTGTTTTTACAGGAAAAGAAATCAGTTGACTATATTTGATGTTTATTGTTGCAAATAATTAATTAATCATAACAGATGGGGCCACTTGAAACACACAAATCATGTGGAGACCTGGGAGCTGCTACCACAGGCAAAGAGACTGAATCTGTCATGTGTGCTATTGCCCTTTAACTTTTGGAAAGGATAATTTCCATCTGACTTATCTGGCTTTCTGCAAATCATTGAAGGTTTTAAAAATTTCCTAAGCTTAAACATTTAAGTTTTTCTAATTTTTCATGGTACTCCTGAACCATCACATCAGAAGACTCTTAGCCAGCTTGGCCTGCAAGCAGTGTGCTTTTCCCTGCGTCCCAGTACTGCACCTGAGTGATGTGAGCTCATGGGAGCTGAGATGCAAGACAGACAGACTCTCTTTATTGAGTGTCCCAGTAAGCAAACCACTGTAAATCACCTCTGCTAGTAGCTCTGCTTGCTCTAGAGCCCTCTCTGTACTTACACCTCCTTCTTATGCCCCAAGCAACAAGTCAGCTTATGACAATCCTTAATGCCTTTCACTTTCCTCCCAGAGGAGAAGCAGAGGGACCCAGATGTACAGATTCAGGCTTTGGCTTAGAGATGCCTTTTTGACCAGACTGTGTTGCTGTGTACAGAGGCCATTTTGCAAAAGGTGGGGTATTTTTTTTGGTTTTGATGCCTCCTTGTGCCCTTTGTTTTCTGATGTGTTTCTGAATACATCAGAAAATGCCTAACTGTGATGGAAGGACTCTGGGGTTCTGGAATGATAATTTGCATTAATCCAGTATTTCTGGAAGCATACTTCTTTTAAATATTAATATTATTCAGCAGCACAGTAACTGGAGAGCAAAAGGGCAAAGAAACCTCACAAAAACATGTTTTTCTATGTTCAGGGCCATGTTCTCCTGTAGGATTTGTTGCCATAAATTTTTAGGCCACAAAACAGACTTTATTTTGCAAGAAAGGCTGCAAGTTACCAAGAGAGCTAATTGGTTTACACTGTTTTAATAAGACCTCCTGGGAAACAGATACAATAGTGGAGAGCCAGTATCACATAATAAAATACAGTTTATAGAGGATATTGCAGTGTAAGATACAGCGTGTCTAACTGGAAAGTATTTGCTGAAGTTTCAGAGAACAATATCTAAACCTATTATGTTGGCAGCCGGGAAATGAGGTTATATGGCCATAGAAGTTAAAATATAAACCAGGTGGTGATTTAGGTGGAAATGGTCTGCCACGAGGGAATCAAACATTTTATTGTGGGAAGGTCACACAGAGACCTTCCTTTTGGAGAGGGAAATAAAAGGGTCCAATGTACAGTTTGCTACAATCACTTGTCAAACCAACCTCTCTCCCCTTTTCCTTTGCCAACCATATGGTTTCCTGCAGGGAAGGCATAAGGTAAGTAACGTCACAGGAGGTTTACGGACCTCAACTTGGACACCAGGGTGTGAGGTCTGTGATCAAGGTGAAATAGCAGAGCTTACCACATTTTTTGCTTGTAGGTTGTGAGGTCGAAATCCTTGGAGTCAGACCAAGTTACTGCCGCGAGTACTTCAGTGTCCCAACAGACAAAAACTTCGCAGACGCCACCAGCGATGCCCTTGAGTCTCTGTGGTACGTCACTAGATTTTGGCGGTGTGGGGATTCCTCTCCCTAGGACAAGTATTTGGATTTACTATCAGGGAGATTTTCAGGATGGGCTTCCAGGTAGGAAGATGAGGGCTGAGACTGCTTTACAGTATCATCATAGGAACAACACCGTAACAGAAATAGGCTTTATAGTATCATCATAGGAACAACACCATAACAGATATAGGCCCTTACATTAAGAGCGGAGGGAAAGATGTGCTCCTCTGTTTCTCTGTAGGCTGCAACAAGGAGGAGACTTAACTGCTTTTAATTTGCTGTTTCAAACAACTTCAGGATGGGCCTGTGCATGTCTATTCACTGACCTGCAAGAAAAGTCTTTGAAATGCTTGTATTTAGAGAGGGAATTTGGAAATTCTGAAATTCAGCTCAAGTCACTTGTTTATGAGACTGATGCTTTGGCTTTTTCTTCATTTTAGAACACCTCAAGCAAAATATTTCTGGAAAGGGCATTGATTTTGTGCAAATATGAATATAGAATAGAGTAGAAGAGTTCAGTTGGAAAGAACCTACAACAACCATATAGTCCAACTGATGGGAATATATATCTCAGATAACTCCTAGGAAAAATGTATTCTCCAGACCCAGCTTTCAAGTTCCACCACCTCTCATCCAAACATTTACAAGGGACAATTCCACACAGGGTGTAAAATCAGGGAAGATTGCACCACCACATGCAGCACCAATACCTTACTTTGGCTATAACTAAGTTCGTGCTTTTAAAGCCTTGTTGGTTCCATAATTAATCCAATCCTAGGAAACCCTTCTACTTTAATACTTGCAACTGCCGTAGCAATTAGTATCCAAAAAGTTTTGTATTCAGGTGCTGAGTGTTGATTTTTCTTGAAATAAAGTCTCCAAAATGATGAGAGCGCTGTTGGAAAAGTTGCTCCCAGTTGCACACTGGGCCCTGCTGCACAGATGCTCACAAATAAGGGTTGTTTGCAGCATGGGCTTAGACAGAAAGTTTCTGAGACCATGTGAGAGGTTTCTCCTAAAATTATTTAGCTTAGATTTAAAGAAAGTTACCTGCATGTGACATGAAGCCATATGTGCCATAGGAGGCTTTCTGGAGCTTTTGCAATGCTCTTAATTCAATGAATAAAAAAGGGAATGGAAGATGTAATACAGAAATTGGCTCTGACTTCTAGTGGAAACCCAGAATCACTGTAGAAAGATTTTTGGTCTCGTATCATTTTGGGATGGGTCAAGATATACTTGAAGTTTCTTGCCTGGTTTCCGTGAAGCACAGAGTATAAGGGTGCTCAGTGCTGTTTTTCAGCTCTGTAACTGTGAACATGGTTAAAAATGAGGCACAGACTGTTAAAAGAGCCAGCCCTTCAAGCTGTTATTTTGGGTAGCTAGAGAGTTTCATTAGCTAATTCTGTCCAAGCCACAAGGCTGCCTGTTGCTGTCTGTGGTGGAAAAGGAAAGGGACACAATAGTGTTGGTGGAACAACTTGCAAGAGGTGAAAGGTGATGATTTCAAGAAAAGTGTATATCCCTGCCACCAAGATGTCATAAATAACAGCTGCAGTCTTCTGAAGTGCCCAAATCCTACAGATCATCGCAGTGCAGCAGGAGGTCCTGTTGCTGGTCCTGTTTACGCACCATCCCTGGTGAATTTCTTCCTGAGTTCTGTCCCTTTAAACTAAGTGCCCTGTCTCCAACAAGGTGGGAAAGAGGAAAAATGAATGATCTTAGGTAAAATTAATAATCAGGTTTGGGTGTAAATACTGCAGGGACTTAAAGTAAGAAGGGAGGGTAGAGAATGAACAGATTAAAAATCTGGTAGGTTTTCCTTATTCTTTCTCTCATTCATCCTCTGTTTATTTCTTTAAGATTTAGAAGAAGTTCCATGCTGCTGTGCCAGCCCATAAGAAGTAAAGCCTCTGAAATCCTTTTATTGCAGACATATTCATTTAGCAGGATTTAGCATCCTCAAGTAGAAGAGTCTTGAGCTTGTCATCTATATCTTTCACAAGTGCTTTTGACTTTTGAACCTGTTCAAAGGCTGGCAAATGCAGTGTGTTTCCTTTTCACACCCTAGGTAATTGGAAAAGCCCATCAGGCTGAGACTGCCCCTAGCTATGGCCTGTGGCAAGGGCAGTCTGTTGCCTGGAGCAGTGCCTTGCTCAGTAGCCCTAATGGCAGGTATTAGTTAAAGAACTGCACTTGGGCTCCCAGCATTAGCAAACCTTGCAGGGACTCCAGGATAGAGAAGTACCTAACTCATCAGGGAGACACTGAGCTTCTCTTGCAACCAAAGGAAATTATCCTTCAGCAATGTTCTCCAGTCTTTTCAAACAGGTGCTTCAAGACCAGTATTTGGACTAAGAATACTCAAAACAAAGCATCTGGTTTTGGCAAGTGAAACTAATCTCCCTTTGAATCTTTTCAGTAACTTATGGGCTGTTGTAATCTACCTACCTTCCTGGAGAAGTGTCATCAAGTCTGCAATTGTACTTGCAAAGTGTGCTGGTAGAATATGAAATACTTTTTGGTGTTGCCATCAATGCTGTCCAACTTTCTTCAGCAATCTTTTCTAAGTAATTTATTTGGAAAGAGAGCGGTGATGGAAGAAGACAGGACTAACAGAATACCTCTATCTAAAGACAGAAATACTTCTCCCATGTAAGACATGATAAGGGTTTTCTTAGAAAACTCTTTTTTTTTCCATTAAAAAAACACGCAAAAATGGAAACAAAGTGAAACTCCAGACATGCTGTACCAAATCCTGCAAACTCCTAAGCATGCTGCATTACTGGAGCTTCTCCCATTGAAGTAATTAAATATTCTTCCTTACAGCATTGAATCCTCATAGAGAAATCTCACCACAGCCTAAATGAGATCACTTGTTTTATGCAACAAATCTCTTTCTTAGCTTCTATCTTGATCAAAATTTTAATTTACTTACATGTGAGAAGACACAAATTAGTTTAAGTAGCTCATAATACAGGCACTGCTGCAGAAGAGGACTATTTCTGTAGGTTCAATGACTGTGTATGCAATAGAGAAATTACAGGGTTAAATTTTAGAAAGTAATTTATGCCTGATACAGATGGAAAGTAATGCTTAAAATGAAACTGAGGAGATTGGAGGGCCACTTCATTTAAATTATTTTAAACTCTTGAGGAGTGAGAAACAACTCTGTTCTGCAGGACTGCTTCTCTGAGGCCTTCTACAAACTGAGAAATGCAAATGACAGATGGTAATTCATTCACTCAGTCCCTCACCTCTGATTTTTCCTCCTCTGTCCCACTCATTACACCAGACTACCCAGGTGTCTTTAATCAGAGATGCTGGACTAACAAGTCTTTTAGTTGGGATCTTCATATGGATGAGAGCATGTAATATGGATGGCATGTTCTGCCATATATTAAGTACAGCACAAAAAGATTGGGTTTGAACTTCAGTAGTATAGGTTTGTGATTTCATCCACACAACTTCTCTCAGGGAGATTTGCAGTGAACAATAAAGTGATCATGAAAATGAAATTAAGCACTGATGTGTGTGCTATCCCCAGTAATTAGGCTGAGAGCAATCAATGCAGAAAAGTGCAATCAGCTAAACTTGTGCAATTCTGAGATTACCTTAGTTTCCCTTGCTCATGTTCCTGAATAAAACCCTCTTCTAAAATCTCATCCCCGTTCATACTGCTTGGTATTTTGTAAGGTAGAGCACATCCCGAGTTAACCTCTGTGGTTTGGAAGACCTCACAGAGGAGAAAGCCAGAAGTGCCAAACTTTAATTAAAGCACATTTGACTGGTAATTCCCATAATCCTTTTAATAGGGGCATTCAGCACAGAAATCAGAATTTCTTTGTTATTAAAGGGAAAGCTGCCCTCCTAATTCAAAGAGGTTAGTAAAGGACTGCCAGGCCAGCATGTGCTTGCACATGGCAGTTTCCACCTGCTGCCTCTGATGGGAGTCTCAGGCAAACTGAGGAGACTCTGGGTGTGAATAATGAGCCCAACAGTGCAGTAGGTAGTAGGATGGATGGCATAGGCTGGAAACAAAAAACAGGGTTTTGTGGCTCTACATGCTTGTGAAGACAACAATGCCAGTATCCAGGAGGTCTCCATGTGTGTCAGCCTTTCACTCCTTGCCCTCTCTCCCACACCCAGCAACAACAGCGCCGAGATGGCCGCAGTGTACTATGAGCGCATTGACGTGGAAGGCCACCACTACGGCCCGTCGTCCCAGCAGCGGAAGAAAGCTTTGAAGGAAGTGGACAAAGCCTTGAGCAACATGATCTCACTCATCAAGGTGAGTGGCAGCCATAAACCCAGCTCCTGGGTGCCTTTGGAAAAGGCTTTTAAAACTGGTCTTTAAATGGGCACTGACATTATAACCCTCCTGGTAGATTTATACCAGTAGCTCCAGGAAGCCACAAACCAATATATGTGTTGCTCTGTTCATTACTTGTGTTACCAGCTGAACTTCATTGTAGGTGAATGTATCAAAACTGTGTGTTTCCTAAGGTTTGTGGAATCAGACAATTACCTTTTATACTGGTTTTTATGACAGTATTCAGATCTCTGTACTTTAAACTTGGTTTTTAAAAAGCATTATTGAAATGATTTTGCAGAGAGAAAATCTTTTGGGTAAATGGTAATTCTGTGAATATTTCTGACAATGATAAATGCTGTTGGAGTTTTTATGTGTTTCAGTGAAAAGAGGAATATGTATCTCAATTTCACTAAATATTAAAAACTCTAATGCTAAGTGCTCGTGTTTGGGAGGGAAAGAGAGAAACACCTCTTCCACAAGTGGCATCATGGCAAAATTGCTGCATGGACTTGTTTTAGGAAAACTCTGGTGCTAACCTCTCAGACTCTTCCAGAGCAGCAAGTAAAACTGGATGTCCACCATTATGGGTGGTGGCAAAGCACATTGCAGGGCATTAATGGCCGTGATCCTTCTGGTTGACTTCCATAGAATCACTGGAGGTCAAAAGGTGATTTAAATTTTCCAGCAAAGCTCTTACATGGCCCTAAAACATGTCACGCACTTTCTTCACAGAGCAAAGGCCTTCAGAATGATATCAATGTCCTCCTCTTCTCTGATCATGGGATGACGGACATCTCTTGGGCAGATAAAGTGATTGAGCTGAAAAAATATATCAATATGAGTGATACCATACAAATGAAAGACCGAGGTCCTGTTGTGAGCCTCTGGCCAGCTCCAGAGAAGCATGCAGAGGTGAGTGCAGCCTAGTTGTACTCCTCAGTTTTGTGTTTTCTCTTAACATCCAAATACTGCTCTCAGAGATATGTGCAAAAATCAGCTTTTATCAGGAGTCAGACTTTGATCCTGTGACACCCTTGTGACGCTGGCTTCAAAAGGAAAGTCACACCAAGCAAATTAAAAGGCATGAACTTTCATTGTTACATGGCAAGGACACATGCTTTTAAACCCCATCCCTATTAGCTTCTGATAAATAGCTAAAATATTTTAGTTCAAAATGTACTTTTAGGCTTTTATATGTATTAGTCAATTTATTGACACTCTAGCTAGGATCTTGAAATCATCTGAAGCAGGTTCAGACATTCATATTCCAGTAAACTCCCACTGAGGAAACCAACTCCATTAGACCAGAATTGCAAAAAATATTTTTTACAATATTGTCCTTGGAGGAATTTTTGATGAAGCATGTTGGATTGAGTCAACCATAAAAGCTCAATGCTAGAACTTCAAGGTTTTGAGGGATAAATTAAAACAATAGAGAAAATAATTTAAAATCACTTGAAAATAATCAAAATGTAGTTTCTCTGACTAGCAGACAAGTATATTATAGTTAACATAAAACCAATGCATTTCATTGGTTATTTCAAGTCATTACTGCTGTCCTCAGAATATAGATGAGTGGATGTAGAAAATGGGCAAACTGTTCCCCAGGCAAATAGTTTTGGTTTCTACATTATATTTTATCCAGTTACAGTATATTGTAGCCTGTGCAATAAGGGCAAGTTGCAACTTCACACAACCATGGGGTTTCATCTGACAAAGCTCTTCAGCACATGCTTCTCTCTCATTGAACAGCCTAATATTCCTAAGGAGAGTAAAGTACAATGCCTTATACTATGGTTTCGTTTCCTTCCTTCATCTCTTTTCAGGATTTCTTACTGGAGGTCTGCTTCTTAAGAAAAATAAAGTTGATTTTTAGTTTCCCAACAGCTAGATTCTCTATTTCTAATGAACTTTAAAGAGCTATGTTTATGAGTTGGAGTGTATTATAGCATAGAGGTTATCATCTCTAAGAATTACCCCATTTCAAAGCACCAGATGTACTGGTGACCACTCTCTAGCCCCGGTCATGGTGGGAAGAATTGTGCATCACACTCTGATGCTGTCCTTATGGTCACTGCACGTCAGTGCACATATCTGGCACACATACATGCACAAGGGTGACTTAGCTGAAAGGCTAGTGAAGAACCTTTCATTCTTTGAAGAACTGAGCTATTTATTCCTGAAGATTATTAATATTTAACTTGTTAAAGAACATTATAAAGTCTGGGAACTCCAATAGCTGCCTTCTCTTTGGCACATGAACATATTTTCCAGTCATTTAAAATCTATTTTCTGAATAATTTGGGATGTCATGACATTTGTGTGATTATATTTCAGACAGTATGATTAATATTAATAAACCCCTTGCATGGCATTGTGCAGATTCAAAGCTGCAGGCTTTGGCTAATTAATCTCACATCAGATAACTAACGAAGCAGATAACTGAGCACTATCAATCCCTTGATAGTGATTGACTGGGTAAGTACAAGAAACACAGGTGAGGTGGCATTCATTCTCCACTCATGAGCACAAAGAGGGAATGAGTGGCAGATGCTGAAGACAATATCGCTTTCCCACACCTGTACACAGTCCACATGGTACCTTTGAGTGTCCCACCACTTCACTTGCTGCCTCCTGGGAAGGTGTGGTTTCTCCTGGTCCGTTTCTGTAGGCTGGTGCATTCACATGAATACATTTATGAACTTGTGTATTATAAATACACATAATATATGAATTCCTATGTGTTTATGATCCAAGTTTTTAGAATCTCCTAAAGCACATAAGCAGCCATGTCCAGCCATGATCTTCGGACAGGCAAAGTCCTGGTGTGAATGTGCTGATGATTAGCCATTACAGGGGATTAGCATTTTGCAAATCCAGGTGTTTTCATGCACCCATTAGTGTATTTATGACCTTTACAGCCACATGGTGTCCTAACATTCATTTCTTTTGCAGATATATCAAAAATTGAAAGCTGTGGAACACATGGATGTTTATAACATACAGGATATTCCAAACAGGTTTTTCTACAAAAAAGGAAAATTTGTGTCTCCACTAACTCTTGTGGCTGAAGAAGGATGGTTCATAGTAGAGGTAAAGTATAGAAGCAAAATACTTAGACAGGAACGTGAAAAGGGCCAATATATTGCTGATCATTGCGTTAAAGCCAATGGGCTGACGACAAAACCAATGTCAAATTCAGCTGTGTGCTTAAAAGAACTTAACGGTATTGCAGCTATCCTAAACGCAGACAGTTAAACAGTCAAGATGCCTCTTTTTTCTTTGTTGTCATAAAGCAGTAGTTCTTGTATTTCACATTCCAATTTTGTTGCCTTACTCTTCTTCCCCCCTTGCCATCTACCTTCATTTCAGGCACAAAAATAGTGTTTCCATTTCAAGTCCTTATTATTCCCTCCATTCAGCAGTACCTTGTGGCAATTTTTGCTTCTGCCTGGCTTTTCTCCCACCAGACTGTTCTAAAAATGCCCCATTTCTCCCAAGCCAACCAGTCTGAAAAGGGTCTTTTCAGATTTATTCCTCAGGGATTCCCAGTGCACACACTGAATACATGGGAACTTGTTAAGCAGAGAACCCAGATATGAAGAGATTTTTCATACTAACTTATTTTCTTACTTTTAATTGCTGTTGTTACTTTGTCCTTGTGTCACTACTGGGCACCTCCACATTACAGATACTAATTGCATCTCAGCACAGCTCAGAGGGTGAGACAACTGTGTATCTTCTAAGGAGGTAAACTGAGCAGTGGTATTAAGTGATTTGCCCAAGGCCATACATGAAGTCAGTAAGTTGGCAACAGAACCACGGAGTCCTGAATTTCTTTCGTGTCCCAGCATAGTGCACTTCCTTGCCTTGTAGGTTATTGTAACTCAGCTGAGCATCTTTCATGGCCTTCAGAGGTACTGCTCACCAAGCTTTGCTCAGTCCACACTACAACATTTCTCACTAGCCAACATGAATTTGGCATAATAGTTTCTGCAGCTGAATAAAAATGCACCTCTAAAAAAAACTGGTGGCTTTTAAATACAGCTGGGTGAGTACCACATTTCTGATTAAAAAAAAAAAAGGCATAAAAAGCCAGAGTTAAGATTTAGACAGGTGAAGTAGGAATCTGAAACATTTTCTCCAAAATTATTTTTTAAAAATACAACTAAACTCTCTCTTACAAAAGTTCAAAACAGAACATTTTTACATATTCTGTAGGAAATAAAGAAAACTTAAAAATCATTGAAAGTCTGACAAATCTTAATAACAGTGCAGGAAACACTGCTGCTATGATAATTATTTCTGTCTCTCTGCCCATTCCTTCCTATTGTTTCTGATTTTCAAGAATGTCCTCTCATTAATGCTATCAGATTTTCTTCTCTTTGGTACATTTTCATTATCTGTGAATGGGATGTGAAAACGAAAGTTTCCTGTCATATTTTTAAAGACATTATTGAGCCTTCTATTATACTTCCTGCCCAAACCACTGAAGAGAGGATGTGCAGCTCTTCCCTTTCATGCTCCCAGGGTTTTTATACTCTCCGTTAGCTAGTGGATAGCTAAAAGTTGTTTGAAAAGGGGGATTTTGTTGTTGGTGGTGGTTTTTGAAAGAGACAAAGGGGGTGTATCTGGAAAGTTGTTTTCTTCATCACGGAGCATAGGAACTGAAGCCCATCTATGTTTTTGTTAAAGCAGGATGAGGAGGGATTTTGTGCTATATCAAAGGTGATCTGCTCATATGACCTTGTTCCCTTCACACAAGTGAGTGGTCCCCATCCTTTGGGCCTAAGATCCCGCAGCTGCTCTCCTGTGTGCAACAATGGTGTTAGCCCTCAGGGCTGCATGCTCACTCTGTACCCATCCCAGTGTACTTTCCCAACATTTAGATCAATTGCAGCACATTTTCTAAACATGCACATGCAGGGAAAAGTCCATGGTCTGCAGTCTCAGATATGCCTGTTTCATCTTTGACAAGGATTGCTAGCCCAGGCTTAGTCTGAGTATGAAAAATTACATCTTGGGCAAGGAAAAATTACATCCCATTTGGACTTGCCAGGCAGGCACACTAGTGTGCTGCCAGTGTCCTGGCCTCAGAGAAGCCCCAGGAGTTTTTGGGGTTTGCTGTAAGGCAGAGCCTGCTGCTCCAGAAGGGCAGTGCTGGGATGCTTGCACAGCTGCAGCACTTGCCCAAGTGGCAATGTGGGAAACTTTTTTGGGGCATCTTCTGTCCTTCTGTGCCCGAGTGTGAAGGCTAGACCTGGACACTCTAGAGGACTGTGCAGCTCCTTCTCTGTAATTATCACAGAAATTAATGTCATGGGCCTGATGAACTGTCAGTTGATGCTCTTTGTTTAAGTGAAATTCCTGCCATAGTTTTGGGGTAATGTGGAGTGCCACATCTGTCTGCTGCTATCCCTAAGGAGCATGGGGCAGGAGAAACCCATGGACAGGTTGGTCCAGCATTTGATCAGCCCCTAGGGACTGCTGCTCTGACAGATATGGCACTATTGTTAACAGCCGTTAATACAAAGCAGGAGAAAGTAAGGAAGGAATTTGAAAATACATCCTAAGTGCAATATGGGCAAGGAAGAACAAGATTTATAATGACAAATTAATAAAGCACAGATCCACTGAGCAAGGAAATAAAACAGAGTATAGGCCACAGAGAGTGGGACTGTCTCAGATCAGAGCCAGTGTTCCCTGGAACAAACCTCATTGCTTTTATATGAAAACAAGTAGGGAGAAGAAATAATAATTAGAAAATATCTAGTAAGGGTGATATTTGTATTTTTAGGATGACTAGTCAAATGGAGCAAAAAATTACTTATTTTTCTAGGGTGTCAATGGCATATGGGGCAGAACAACACCCCAGTAAACCCACGGGAGTGCGCTGGGTGGGTGAGCAGTGCTGCAGGCATGGGGAGAGGGCAGCACCTTCCTTACACATGTCACAGATGACTGTTGTACTTTGTGCTTGTGGCAGGAATCTACATGAGCTGTCCTTTCCTCCCAGCTGGGAGGTGGTTACTCACTGAGACAGCAAAGCCTGTCAGGAGGGGTCACCCCTCCTGGGCATGAGCTCCTGTGCAGGTCACAGCACAGTGTGGGGCCTGAAGGGGTGGTACAGCACATGGAGACACAACACAGCAACCCACAGTGCCCCAGCACAGCCCAGCAGGCAGGCACTAACCATGATCTGCTGTTGCCACCCAGAGCAGGGACAAGCTGCCCTACTGGGAGAATGGGACGGGGAGGAAGGAAGCCTGGCAGAATGGTTGGCATGGCTACGACAATGAGCTCATGGACATGAGAGGCTTCTTCCTCGCATATGGACCAGGTACAGTGACACCATTCCTGGTGTTCCACTTCCCCTGCAGCCCCGTGGTTCTCACCCCTGCATCCCTGCAGCCCTTGGCACATCAGGACCCCAATGAAGCAGTCTGCGACACCTAAAAATTACAAATAGATGGCAGGATTTCCTCACTATGGAGGGTTTGTTGCTGCACTGCATCTATTTTATAGCTGAAGAAACAGGGCAGAGAGATGTGAAGGGATTTGGTCAGCCTTTCTGTGATGTCCCAGTGCAGTTACTAACTCTTTGCCCTGTTTTCCTAAATTTTGGCCTAAATTTTCAATTCTATTTGAAACACATGAATCCTGCTTTTGTCAGGGAATTCAGACTTGCTACACCAGGGCACTTTCTTTGGGAAGTCTACCTCACCCACCTGTCTGATGGGCAGACACAAAAGTCCTGGTTTCTACTTCATTGGGCCCTTTAAACAGGGCAGAGCACCAGGTAGAGCACCAGGCTAATTGTATTGCACCAGTGAAAGCAGAATGTGAAATACAATTATGTCAGGCCATTACGTCTATCGAGCACATGTACTAAAGTAGCTCCTGTACTTAAAAATTCAGGGCTTTTTTTAGTTTTTAGAACAAGAAGCAAAAATAGTTATTTTTGCTAGAAGCAAAAATAATTAATAAATTTGTTTAAATTAATGATTTTGCTGAGCTATGATCTAAATTGTATAGCATGCCACATCCCAGCCTGGTGGGTAAGTCCCAAGAAAGGCAAAGGAGCCCCTGCCTCACAAAACCCCACATTCCAGGGTTGCATGATGCTAACTCCTCTCTTTTGCCTGCAGATTTCCGATCCAACTACCGAGCGCCTCCCATCAGATCTGTGGATGTTTACAACATCATGTGCAGCCTGGCAGGAGTACAGCCACTGCCCAACAATGGCTCCTGGTCCAGGGTGGAGTGCATGCTCCGAAACACAGCCACCCTGGCACCACTCCCACCATGCAGCAGCTGTGTCCTGACACTGGCTCTGCTCTCCCTGTTCACCAGGCAGATCTCCTTACTGTGATCCCTGAACAATGTCAGTCAGTGTCACCAGCAACTCCATCCTTCTCTGTTTGTTTTTTTAAAGTTCTTCATTTGAATAACAGCTTCATTAATAGAGTGCTGTCCCCTACTCCTCCATTGTGCTCCACCAGGCATGAATCTGACCCATCCTGCATTTACAATGGTTTTAACATGAAGCCAGGTTTTGTGCTGTTCCAAACACAGCTAGGGACAGTGGGGTCACCCACCTAGATTTACAGCACTGCCAGTGAGGGCAGAATCCTGGCTGGGTATCCACAAAGTTTTCTGGTGGGTGCACATGGGGATCTGTGAGCATCAAACACGCCTCGCCCCAGCATCTTTCACTGAGGAGCTCACTCTGGTTTGCCATACTGAGAAGTTCAGGAGTGGAGGCCAACCTCTCTGCATTTAGCTGGGATCATCCTGGTTCATTCCTACATCTCCAGCTCCACCAGCAGCAGAGCCCCATCTTCTCCTTACAGCATCAGCCAAGCCCCATCTATACAGACACAGTCTTTAAAGAGCCAGGAGCTTTGCTGAGGGACCATAATGCTGAGAGAAGTGGGTCAGCAGGAGAGCAGTGAAAGCATCATAGTTCTCTCAGCTTTTCCTTTATTTTCACCAGCATGAGTACTGGCTCTGCCCATTTCCAGGGCCAGGCTTTCCTCACAGACCACAGTGGAAGGGAAGGCTGGGAAAGAAGAAAGTGACACAAATCTTCCACTTCAAAGCCAATGGAAAAATGAACAGACATCTGGACACACAAGGGTCAGGAGAACATAGGATGAGGAAGCCTGGCATTTAACAGCCTCTCTGCTTTTCCTGGTGAAGATAATATCCTCTGATCATATTTTGATGTTTTATACCCAATTGAATTTCTATAGTTTTTTCAACATTTACTGCTCTTCTATCAGATTTTGTTCTCTATACCTCTGCCTGGTGATCAGCAGATGCCTTTATTCTGCAGCAGGGAGATGTACAGATACATCTCCCACCCTTCCAGCTAATCCTGGTGATTTTTTTCCACCATGGGCTATCAAGCACAAGTCAAGTTGTAAGAGCAAAGTTAAATTAAACAGCAAGAGAGGATAGAGCTGTTGCCAGAGGTGCCTTCAGGGTGCACAGCGCTTTATCTGACATACCTCTGAACCAGGAGCTTTCAGCAACAAACTGCCTTTGGAAGGACTGAGATCCCTTCCCACGCAAAACAAACCTCTAGAACTTACTACTCCTCTGGATCCAGAGACAAGCACGATCCCGGTATGTGTGCTACAGTGCATTTAAGGGTGAATGACTACACTGTGGGGGAAAAAAAACAAACACCAAATTGAACTTGACAAAAGACTTCTGTAATAGCTGTAAAGATTTATGTAATGTGTTATTAAAGCTCAAGTGAACCATCAAATCAGTTGGAGAAAAATGGAAAAAATCAGGCTTTGTTATTAGACTGTTGAGTATAAAAGGCAATTTAGTGCTTTCGAAGCATTTGCAGTAGCTGTAAAACAAGCACCTATTGTTCAGAGTTCCCTGTTGCTCTTTAATGGACCAGGCTCAATGAAATCACTGGAGCACATTTTTAAAGGAAAAAAAAATTTTAAAAATTTAAAAAAAGTTAAAAAATAAAAGTCAGCACACAAGATAACTAAATTGCCAAGTTTTGTCTGAAAATCATCAGGATAGATGCCATCAGTGCCTGCTAACCCTTCCACAATGTGTCAGTTTAAGTCTTACCAGTGAGCAGAAGCAAAGGTCTTCTTACAGAATAAATGTTTCTAAAGGTATAAGGGTAAAAGTATTCAGCTCCTCAGTTATACAAACAGAAACTGAAAATAACAAATTTGGTCCCTTGATTGTTCCACGGATGGGGTATGACAAATGAAATCAAAACTGATCCTTGTGAGTACTTGTGTAACTCATTTTTGTCAGTGTTCACATGCAAATACTGAAAAGCAAATCCAATTGCAATATGATTTGTTTGCCCTTTATGCAAGAATTGTGTGTATGGTAAAAGATACTTGGTCTGTAAAAGCAAAATTTGATGGCAGACCTTCAAGAAGCTCACTAGCTTCAGGCGAACTACAGCTCATTATTTTTTGGAAAGTGCATCTTTCTTCTTCAGAAATGTCATACCTCTGAATCAATTCACGTTCTCATTCAAAAATCAAGTGTCTTAAGTCTTGCCTATTTTTCTGTATACTATGCAATGGAGGTGGGTGTATTTTAAAACCTATTTCTGAATGATGTTTTTATACAATGACTGATTGTGAATGAGTGAGTAATTCTAAAAATGGTGTAAGAAAAAGCACTTATTTGTAAATACTGTAAGATTTTTGAAGAAAAAATAGCCCAAAACCTTCCCTTCAGCACTTTGCCTTTCTTGTCTAATTGCTGCATCAAAGTGTGATAAACAGTGTTTGAGGCTTGTGCTGATTAATTATCAGAAAGACAAATGATAACATTGTTTAGAAATGGCAAAGTTGTCAGCATGTAAATTAAGGACATTAAATGCATCACACAAGATGATGTAGCTTGTATATGCAGTCCTTTTTTCCAGATGTATTTCATTATTTAATAATTTTGAACATCCATCCATTCATCCTTTTGAACATGTCATTCCCACTAGGCAGTGGACATGACAAAACATTTTGCACTTTTAAGAAGAGAGGTGAGCCCTGGATGCTCTCTCCAGACCCACTTCTCTAAGCCTATTGTGTCACCATCACATCGGATGCTTGCACAGAAATTAAGAACATTGTCCCTGGTATGAGGCTATCCAGAGCCCCCCTTTCCCAGTGGGAGATGGTGCAAATGTCAACAAGATCTCGAAAACCAGTGCTACAGGCCTCAAGGACAAGAGGGCCCTACTCCACTCTAAGCTCCACAAACCAACAATGTCTATGGAAGAGACTCATTTAATAGAAGTTTCCAAGCCTACTCAGTAGAATTTATCTCCTATATTAACTGACCACAGAGCAGGGAGTGGATGATGGAGGAGGACCAGTGCAGGTACACCAACAAGTCCTTTAATTTCCAGCAGGACTGTCTCTGAACCAGTAGCACTGCCAAGGTCTGCCAGAGATGCTCCCCTCATGTTCCATGAATATGGGTTCTCAGAAAAGGGAGGTGCTGAGGAACTATCTGCACAGGAATAAGTCTCAGTCAGCTCCCTATAACCGTGCCAAAAATGGCAATTTCACAGCTAAATAAGATGAGCCCTTTTTACCAATGACCTTGGTGGCCATGCAAGTGGCATGGCTGGCTAAGCTCAGCGGGTGAGCCCTCCAGCATTGCAGCCGGATGCAGCCTGCATTGCCTGCACAGACTGCAGCCCCGTGGATGGAGACACTTTCTCATTGGCCCAGACACCAGCCTGTGCCCTTCACAAGTACAGAGACTTTGCAAATAAGGGGTGAATGAGAAGGTTTTGTGGTGCTGATCAACCTCCTTGTCTCCTAACTAATACATCACAAAATCACAGGTCTTCTGAGTTGGAAGGAACCTGCAAGGATCATCAAGTCAAATTCCTGACCCTTCACAGGACCATCCCCAAGAATCACACCATGAGCCCAAGAGTGATGTCCAAATCCCTCTTGAATTCTGTCAGGCTTGGTGATGTACACCTCAGGGGGAGGTGCAGACCAGATGAACTCTGGCCACTGGGAAGTGAAAGGCATTGGGAAAGCTCCGTGTAACATTTCCTCACCTTCTTTTCCCTGTAGGGCTGTAGCAGAGAGGGCAGGTCGCAGCAAATCCAACTGGAATTTTTTTAAGAAAACATGGCTTAATGATGAGAAAGGTTTGAAACCCTGTTATTTTAGCACAATATGTCTTTAACAGCTGTTTTAAAAGACAGCTTTCACATACACAGGAAAAGATTTTTTTGTGTATCAAAACACATCTAAGTTAAGGGAAATTTCAAAAATAAAAACCTTTCAGGATTGCAGTTGGCTGGACACAGTAATTCTCAAGCTTCATGGAGATGGACTGCATGGATTGTATGGACTGTATGGATTATTCTGGTATTTCAAACACATGGAAATTGCTATGGACTTAAAAACAAGTATGACGTTATCCCAAATCTGTATCAATTACACCACTTCAGCTCTGCCAGCCCAGTTTCATCAGGAGCCGCTCTGAGCTCAGGCACTGCCCTGTCTGCCCAGCCGGGTCTGCCCGAGATGCGGAACGCCTTGAGCAGCCGCACCGCCGCACCAAGGCTGCTGCCAGCTGTTGTGCTCCGCTGGAGCCGCTCCAGGAGCTCCCCGGTTCTGTTGCACTGAGGAGCCCAGAAAGGGACACAGATTTCCCCACACACCGCCTCTCCCCGCACTCGCCCACTTCCCGCCCGCCAGGCGGAGCGGGGCGGCCGCGGCCCTGAGGGCGGGCGGGGGGAGCCCGGCGGGAGGAGCCCGCGCCCCCTGGCGGCCCACCGCGCCCCCTGCCGGCCCGGCCGCAAACCGCGCCTGGGACAAACGGGATCCCTGCCTTCCGTGGGGAGAGGGAGGATTGGGACCTCTCCTTCCTTCTGCGCTCTCATCGCAGTTTCCCCCCCTTCTCTCCTTTAACTCTCCCGGTACCCTTTGCGCTAGGGCCGATTCCTCCTCACCCAAACCTGCTGCCCCCACGTGGCACTCTGAGCAAGCTTCCCAGCTGCTCCTGCTCCTGTTCCCACAGGAGGAAGACTGGGCAGAGCAAGACCTTTGTGTGTTCGTGGCCCTAAACGATCCAAGAGAGGAACCAGCGGGATGTAATCCCCACTCTCAGCACTTGGGCTGAATCTCAAGCTGCCTTTGTTGTCTTTATAGTCTGATCCCACTGGTGGGGAACAAAATAACACAAAAATAGGAAGGGGAGGGGAGCAGGGGGATTGATGCACCTGTGGCTCTTCTACTTGTGTCCACTTGAAGCTTGGCTCGAAGTTGAACACACAATCCTTGGGTCAGATGTCCCTGCTAGGACAGGGACAGATGTTCCCACACTAGGAACTCTGAGTTTTGTCAGCGCAGTAGAACTCCGACTAAAACAGCCACAGGTAGCAAATAAATGGTGAGGAGGGATATGAAGAGTGGTCTGAGGAAGGGGAAATTCAGAGCCCACTTTCCACACCAGCACAGATCAGGGCTTAGCTGAGATTCAGGGAATTGATTTTGATCCTCCCTTGGTCGCAGCAAATGAGGCATTTTAGTATCAGGGTTCTCTCTGACTTCAGGAGCAAGGGACACCAGTGCACGCATAGAAGATGTTCCTCTGTCCCTCACCAAGGGGTTGCAGGCAGCCAGCCACAAAATGTCAGCATCCTCTGCTGGGAACACATAAACAACCAATTTTCTGTGGCTGCCAGAGTGGGCATTGACAGCTCTTGAGCAGCCTTCTGTTTTTCCCAATAAATTAATAATACAGTAAAACATTACTCATCACCTAGATTGTTTGATGAGGATCAATGAAGGCCTCAAAATTGGATGGAGACCCTGCCATTGCTTCCTTGCCAGATAGAAAAAGGGAGGCTGAGGTGGCATCAGCTGTTGCAAAGTCTTTGGAATGCAGGTCAGGCTTGCAGGGGATCATCCACAATCCCTGCTGAACACTCACTCAGCCTTCCGCTCTCATGGGCTGCCTCCATGCAAAGGCTACTAGCCACATAAATGTATTTAACTGGGCCATGTGTCCATTAGAGGCAGTTTTAACCTTTCTTCAGCAGTCCCATGTGCTGCTCATCTTACATCACTAAAACAACCAGTGCATTGGAATTCACTGTACCCCCTATTCAGGTTGGTTTTACCCCTGCAAGGACATGACCATACCAAGTGACTCAGCAGGAACCTGCTTCCCTGCTTCTGATTTCTAAGATGTGCCTCACACATGATCTCTGGGCAGAAGAAGGCTCTGACAAACTGAAAATTAATTTTTTGGAAGGGCTTATTTGCCTCCCAATGTATCAATCTATCCATCTGTAAATTGCACTATCCCTTGATACTTTTTCCATATATTCCATACTGGTGGAGCTTTGGAGTGCAAGACTTTGCGTCCTTGCTTTTCAGAGTAGGCAGCAATGTGGTTCTCATCTTACAGCTCATTCATTGTCCATGAGAGTGCAAGGGCTGAGATAGAGGTAACCCTGCTGACCACATCCCAACTGAGTAGATTCTGTAAGAGAGAGCAAAAGCAGCCCTTGCCCATCCATGGAGGGATTCTGCAAGCATAGCTATAACAAGGAAATAATTTTGGGCTTAAAAATTAAGATTTTGTAGTAGTCTTCAAATAGCAGCTGTGAAAGACGAAAAAAAAAAAAAAAGCAGCTGAATGTTTTTTAAGGTGGATTTCTAGCCAACTGAATTCATTCAGTTTATTAACTGGATTATACCAACTGCTTGCTTACACTGCTGCAGGGGCTGGGTAAAACATCCTGAAACGTCCCCTCATTCCTTAATCTCAAGTGGCTCCTTGCAAGAACACGTCTGACAAAGAAAAATAACTATTTTCCCCTCTCTAAACAGAATAAAATTGTGAGGGCACTGAGCTTTCTTTGCATTTCATACAACTTCTTTTGTAAAAAACAAATGGGATGAACAAACCCAGGTCCTACGTGTAGAGAAGAAGATATTTAATATCCATAATGTGAGGAGCTTTCCAGCAGAAGAAACTCTTCTACGCAGAAATAGCTGAGTGCAGCCTGTAAAGACCTGGCAATTAATCATGCACTTGAAGAAATACAACATGCTCATAGAGGCTGAATTTTAAATGCTTGCTGCTCCAGTTTGGACAGTGACAAATTAAGGCCCCCACAAAAGCAGGTGTGGCTCTTGAAGAAGCCCTCTGAGGGCAATTAAAAATGGGAAACCAGCTGGTAACTGTGCAGATGTGACAGCCAGGCCAGCTCAGGAAATTAATACAAAGGAGAAGGATGGAGAAATAAATGGTGTAGGAGCCGAGGCAATAGAAACAGGACCTGCTCTCCACAGGGGGTTGCTCCGTGGCAAGTGAAGTGTGGGATGTGCAAAGTGGTGACAGCCACATATCCCCATTGCCCTGGAGAGCTGCCACAGACAGGCTTCAAATGAATCTCTCACTGCAGGACCCCAAAAACCAGAGAGGCTGCTGCCTTCGTGTGTCACACAGTTTTCCCTGATGCCCAGGGGAAGGCTGCATTCAAGGATGTCCGAAGCAGATGGCTTGGGCACATCTGAAATTGTCTGCAGTACCCTGTGATGGAAAAGGCAAGGGATGAGGTCAAGGGTGGATTTTCCCAAGTCAGCTTCAATGAGCTCCAATCCAACAGGTAGTATGTAGCCAGGTTTCACATACAGTGCTTCATTGTTCCTGGTCAGTTGTCTCCAGTGTTCACTGTTCTGAGTCAGTCAAGAAAATGGTAGTTTGTCCCATTGAAAATACAGCAAATAATTAAGACACATGATTAGAAGGAATTTGTTATTTTCCATTAGGGGTACCATTTAGGAAGTGTGAGCAAAATTATAAATAGTGCAATGCAAACAGACTATGTATCAGTACAAGCCAGAGCTCCTCAT